AAATAGCTCACGTTTTTATACACGCAAACCTTTGATAGATCCGGCCCTATGTCTTGCTGCAGGCTCTACTCTGTTTTCATTGTATTATGGGATGCTCCACTTTGCTCCTTATGTGTTGCCTCTAATGGGCGATAATAAAAATCAGTACAGTTTAAATCATGGGTCTCAAACTGGTTCCAGAAAGGGCTGTGTGGCTGCAGCTTTTCTTTCCAACCAAGCAATAGCACACCAGATTCCAGTCATCTCATCAAGTTAGTCCTGTCTTAACATGATTATTTGATGAGATGACTTGAATCTGGTGAGCTATTGCTTGGTTGGAAAGAAAACCTGCAGCCACACGGCCCTTCCTGGAACCAGTTCGAGACCCCTGGGTTAAATCCTAAAAGAAAATACTGTAGATGAAAAATGTTTAATTGCAGATAAATAAGACCTAGAAATGCTGAGAGGCGCTGAAGAAGCAGCAGCTCTGGTTAAGTTCTGGGTTCTGTTTGAAGAATCCTGCAGGAGCTGCAGGCACTGCTTCTCTCTGCATGCTGATTCCTCCTGAAACGCATCATCCAGGTGCTCTGATGCAGACAGGTCACTAAGCAGTGGCATAGATGTTTATCCTGTTAAATGCTGCTGAAGCTTTGGAAACCTGGAATCAGGAGCTTCAGAGATCCAGCAGCATGAGTTTTTTAAAAAGCTTTCCTGTTGCTGAGCTTCATGTTCAGTTCAGACATGATGAAGCTCTTTCCCTGTGGATGGGTTTCTAATCAGGTTGTGTTATATGCTTCCTGTTTATGAACTGACTGGTATCTGCCGAGCACTCAGCTGACATTGCGGATCAGTAAAGCAGAGATTATTGACTGATATTTTCACTTTTTCTTTCCAGACGACTCTGCAGAACCTTTCAGAGGACGTCCTGGCTGTGATGGACAATAAGAACCCGTCCATTAAGCAGCAGGCGTCTCTGTTTTTGGCCCGATCTTTCCGACATTGCACTCAGGCCACGCTGCCAAAGAGCATCCTCAAACCTCTCTGTGCCGCCCTCATCAAGGTCTGTCCGGTACCGCAGGGTGGTCCTCTGGAACATCAACACATTAAACCCATCAGACTCTGACCAGAACAAGATTATTATCATTAGGCTAATCTTTTCTGCTTCCTCCTTTATCCACATCAGCAAGTGAACGACTCGGCCCCTGAGGTCCGTGATGCTGCCTTTGAAGCTCTGGGAACGGCCATGAAGGTGGTTGGAGAAAAGGCTGTGAACCCTTTCCTCGCCGACTTGGACAAACTCAAACTAGATAAGGTGAGCCCTGGAGCAGAAGAATCCTCCTGAGTGTCTCATCTCTGTGATCTCGTATTTGATCCCTGTGTGTTTTCTAACAGATCAAGGAGAGCGCTGATAAAGTAGAGCTTCCTGGGAGCAAAAAAGGTGCAGCTGGAGGAGCAGCTGCTGACAAGAAACCTGCTGCTAAAGCTGCTCCTGCAGCAGAAGCTCCTTCCAAATCTTCTGCTCCACCCAAGAAGCCCCAAGCCGCTGCTGCTAGCAAGGTATACTTTAGTATGTAGGGATGGTTTTACACAAATGGTTGGTGTGAAAATCTCAGTTCTTAAACGATGTGTTTTCTGCAGCCGTCAGCTGGTCCTCCTAAAAAAGGGAAACCAGCATCTGCAGCTGGGGGAAAAACCAAGAAGACCTCAGACAGTAAAGAATTCACAGAGACTGAACTATCGGTAAGTTTCCGAACCATGTGGTGGCCCAGCTGGAGAGGCTGCACAGAAACGTGAACCATGATGCAAAATGTTCCGTTATCTTAATCTTCTTAACTGGTTTTAAAGGAGTCATAGAATGAATATAAAGATAAATATAATTTGTTCGACTACAGAATCCAGAATCTGGATTATCCAAGCAGTCTCTGATCCCAGCAGCGAAGTTCTGCTGCTCCTCCATGCAGCGCGGCTAAAAGTGCCCATTTAGGAGAACTGTAGGAGTTGATACAGAGTTTAGATTCACTAACAGAACCACAGAAAGTTAATTCTGGATCCTAGGATCCTCTAAACTGAGGAAAAATTCCAGACTGGACTCTGGATCCATTCATGGTTCTGTTCTTGCCTGGTTCCACTCTGATATTACTTCCATTTCAAATAACTGCGAGGCTCTGCTTTAAATCGTCAGCGGCTCCCTCTAGTGGACGGCGGTATCAAATGGGTTGAGCGTTATGTTAATCGGATGGAACTAGGGCTGAAACGTTGAATCAATTATTGAAATAATCAACTAATTTAGTAATCTATTATTCGTTAACTGGAGTATAGAGAATCTAAAACATGCTGTCAGCTGACTAAGATTATACCAAGATCATAAAAAAATATATAAACATTTTGCATTTACTACTCTATTCTGAACTCAAGTGGGAACGATTTTCTTTCACCTGCTTAAAATTCTTAAAATGTCTTCTTTAAGGAACCTTTTTACTATCCGTTTATTAATCGTTTTGCAAAATGATCATTACTTGCAGCCCTAGCTGTAACACATTTCTATTTTTATTGTTATAAACTATTGATTAAACAACCATAAGTCGATTGTTTTACATCTACTCTGTTGTGTTTTTTTGAAGCCTTCTCCTATTGTTGTCTGTTAGATTTGGGCTCATCATGTTTCTGACCGTCCACTGTTGTGGTTTCAGGTTGAAGTGTGTGAGGAGCTGGCAGCAGGTGTACTTCCTGCTTCCTGTCTGCAACAGATGGACTCCAGCAATTGGAAGGAGAGGCTGGCCAGTATGGAGGAGTTCCAGAAGGTAAAGTCTCCCCGTTTTACTCCTTTACCTGCAGCCACTGTTTTTTTTTTTTTGTGACGGTCGAGACAAAGCTGTGGTTTGGATTCATGTGTGTCTGCAGGCGGTGGAGACCATGGACAAGGCAGCAATGCCCTGCCAGGCCTTAGTCAGGATGTTGGCCAAGAAACCAGGCTTTAAGGAGACAAATTTCCAGGTATGTTGTTGGAAACCAACAGATCCTCGAAAACAACCTAAAGCTCAGCCTCGTTCTCGTTTCTCAGCCCAGAGGGTTTGCATACGTCTAATAGCATAGTGACTAGCAGAGTCTAGTTTAACATCTGATGATGATATCAGAAATTGGTCTGATCAGCCAAAAAGAAAAACCTAGAATATGTTTGTTTGCATCTAAAATTTCTCGAAGCTCATAGGAACAGCTTAACCCATTAGTTCATACTTTGCACTCTGTTGTTCTCGTACCCTCAGTTGACTGTTCTGAATATTTTCACTTTGGTAACCTTTACTGATATTCTACACTTTGAAATGAGTAATAAACAGAGCTATGATTAGTGCTGATATCTTACTAGGTTATCAGCATTTTAGGAATTAAAATAAAATGTGAAAATGCAACATACCAGCAATCCATCTGCTGTGGTTTAATTCATAGGAACAACTTTTTTTTTTTTTTTTAAATGATGTTTAGCTTTATAAAGCCTCCCAAACTTAAATGTGTTAATGAAGGTTCATCATCAGTTGGTCTCACTCAGACATATGATCTGTCCACTTTTATAAAATTTCGGTCAGGAAACGGTTCAGACTGCAGCTGTTGAGGTTTATTCTGTGCTCCGCTGATCTACGAAGGATTGTGATGGATGCTGCATTTAACAGGATGGGGAGGGGCTGCTGCCCAGATAGCAGGAATAGACCTTTTTCACGACAACCGGAAGCTGCGTCTGAAAGGGCTGGAGCACTTCCTGTTTTACTCTGAAAAATGTTTCTCCTCCGGTGCTTTTCGTCATCCTTACTTAGTTTGCCAACACTTTCTTTCGCGGATGCGGAGGAAATCGCTGCGG